ATGTATGTGTGTGTACATATATATACATATATATATATATATATAGCCTGCATAGAAATGTATATTGGTTAGGATTGGGCCTCCGACTAGATTAGTTCGAATGAACTACCTCTGTGGTCCACACCAAGAAATTATTATTATTATTATTATTATAAGATTACTAGAATTGTTATTATTATTGGTGAAATAAATTATAATGTAATATAAGTTATCTCCAACTTTGCAGACAACTTTCTCGCCTCCCAAGACTGTAGATGATTTTTTCACTTGCAACATTTACTACTTTTCAAACAAGTTTGTATCTCCTTGAACTACATTTTAGGACGTCTGGGACAACTTTTTCGTCTTTCGTCGTCATAACAACTTTTCCATATACTCAAACTAAATTTTCAAATTTCAACTTTTCGACCCTCTAAAGCAAACTTATTAAGCTTGCAATCGCATTGCCTGACTTCTCAAACATTTTAGGACTGTTCAAACAACTTCCTTGCCTTCCAAAAACTCATCCACTTTTTTATCGAATTTTCCCAAAAATTCAGCCCGTTCAGATTTCTCCCTATTCAAAGTTTCAAAGTTGTCTTTACAACTTTTCAGCAAAGTTTAAGATTTTTCTGCCAAATGAATGTTAACAACTTTCCAACCAACTTGTTATATTTTCTAGCCAACTTCCATGACCTTTCACGAAACATTTGCGACTCTTCAGATGAACTTTAGAACTTTCTACAAAAATTTTGTTATTTTGGTTGTTATTTTGTGAAAAATTCCACAGAAACAAAATAGGATTCCTAGTCACCTTCATATTCATATTTAATTGTCAAAGGCATGACATTCCGGCCATAGAAAATACCTGCCGTTCACTAAAATAAATGTCATCAAAGTGTATAGACAGGTTATTTCTATTTTTAAATAAATATATTTATATTGACCAGTTGTGCAATGTGAAAAAGATAAATTCTTGTTATTTTCATTTGTAAGTTGACTTCTAAATAAGCGCATAATTTTGCGATTACAAAAATTACATTATTTCGTGCCAAAATTTAATATTTGTCAACAAAAAATATACTTTTATTTTGTTCACAATTTATCTGTTTTATTTAGAATCTCAGTCAATAATATGCACATATTTGAATACACAGCAATAAATACACATTCAGTCGTTAAAACTTACATATTGTAATTTTTTTTACCATGAAAGACTTGAAGTACCATATAATAAGGAACTACTAGTATATCCCAGTGTTTAACTTATAATCACTTCAGATATTAACCAACGTTACTCAATCAATTAGCATATGTTTATTTCGGAAATGTACACATTCGCTTAACATGCTCTCACACAGCGTGAGTAATATGGACATTTTCCTAACTCCTGGTCGACTTTTCACTACTCGGTCGGTCTCAGTAGGTTTTGTTGTCTTTTCATCCACACACTTCATTTGTATTCCCACAAGATGTTTACTTTCAAATTGTTATACATGTACTTATTTATGTTTTTAAAATGTAAAATGGGTGTCTTTTGACTGATATTTGGGTCTTTTCAAAGTTCACATCGATATCGTTTTCAAGTCAACTTTACGCGAATTTAGGTGTATTGCCTTGTTAAACATAATTCATTAACATGCCGATTATCAACAGTTTTATTTAGAAATACAATGTAGAATCATATAAAAACTGTTCTGGTCTCGATCCACCCTATCTATCTTTCGTCTTTCTTGGTGGAGCGCCTTTCTAAACAAAATGTCTCAAGATATTTTAAAATGCAAGTTAATTCCGTATTTTATGATTAATACCAAATGATGATACGAAAACAACATGTCGTCATTGCGAATGACATAGTACCCGTATGTAGATACATTTGACTTGAAGACACATATGGGAGAAGGAATAATAGCAAGGACATGGTGATAATCAAAAAATCGGAATCGGTTATGTATGTCATACAAATGAAATACAAACAAATACCAAAAATAAACGCCAGTAGGTTAAATTTCATTGAAACCTAAGAATAACATTGGCCAAAAAGTGAAATTTAAATTTAAAAGGCATTTATTAGTTTTCAAAAGCTGAAAAAAACGATGAACGATGGTTGCAAATGTTGGTATTCTTCACACATAACAAGTGGATTTTAGAGCGTGGTGGTTGTCGCGCAGCTCGTGTTCGAATTTCAGTTAAACAAACAATGTATTTTACACGCGTTGTGTACGTTGCTGTGACTCTCATATCGAACAGGACGCGGAGCGATGACTGCCGCCCTTTAAGACTTATTACACGTACCAAGATTATACCTTGTAGTTGTTTGCAGTTTCATTGTTCATTTCGCAGTTTACATGTGGCGACGGGAAAGTTCGCTCTTATGCGTTATCTTGACAGGTGGTGGCGCTACATCGTTTGCCCATTTATTCAGTAAATGGTCCTGACTGGAGTCCTAATATAATAATTTTATTATTATTTAGAAAGTTTTGTAACCTGACCTGCAACCTTATTCTGCGTTTTGATACTGGTCCACTAAAAAGACAAAACACGATATTTTCTTGTTATTTTGTACATCAGTTTTCTCCAAACCATGCACGGTGACCCCATTTTTATTTCATTTCTTCATCCCTGTTAACATGAAGTATACCTAGACTCGATTTACATTCTACCTTCAAAACAAAACAGTTTGTCACACAGGCAACAACAACAACTACTATACAAACAACTTGAACTTCGGTGGTTAATCAATTCTTTACTGCTTACTATTATAAAAATTCATGATACATTTATTGCACTAATATTTAAATAATATCTGCAAGGTTATATTTGACGAATAAGCAGTCTGATAATGCGCGACTATACAAAGAAACCGCGGCGAAAAACCCAGAAGTACGTGTGCCTGGCTGCTCTAGTTGTAGGTTAGTAGGCTTCACAGTACAATTGGATGGTTATTTCAGAAACTAGTAGTTTACTCTCTTAATCCGCATTACATATGTCCATATGTTTTGACTTCAGCC